CCTACGCCCATCAGCAGGATGGAGTAGCTGAGAGAACTAACAGGATGCTGAAAGAGAAGATACGCGTGCTGCTGCAACAGTCCAGCTTGACAGCAGATTTTTGGCTGTTTGCGATGGCGCAAGCTGTCCGCCTACACAACTACCTCTGCTCTTCCTCAGTTCAGCTCGCCACACGTCATGTGGACAAAACATCCCGCCGACACTCGACTACGACGAGTTTGGGGCTGCATGGTCCAATACAGACCTCCGAGCACAATTGTGGGCAGATTTACCGAGCGGGCTCGCTTGGGAATACACCTTGGCGTACCCAAGGATTCCTATTCCTGGATAATTATGGATTATGAAACCCAAAAAGTTTTGCATGCCCAAGACTGCATCTTCTACGAGAATTGTTTTTCTCGATGACTTCAAACGCGACAAGGAAGGCCAGCAGCGGGATCCTGATCGTTACAGTGCCGAACGGAGTTTCGCCACTCCTCAAGACGAAGCCGATGCAGCCGAAGAATATTATCCACCCAACAGCGCAGCAGCAGGACCTTCTACACTTCCGAAGAAGTCTACATCAGCAGCCAAACAATTGTTCGACTCCTATATTCCTTCGACACGTACCAAAAACACCGAAACACCGCTCTTCATTCCCCTCTTGGACCCATTGTATCCTACCACGACACAGGCTGCCTACAATTATGAGGAGCACCTGTGTCGACGAAAATTTTACGCAGCATCACATGACGGTGCCCGCCATGTGCCATCCGAAATTGATGATGCTGATATCGTCGAAGTTTGCCAACCTCATCTTCATGGTGACCAATCGATTCTTCAGATCCTCGGAGTTGCTGTCGCATTTCAGCAACCAACGACCGGGATCGACGACTGCGGCCCCGACGTCATCTATCTTTCTGCAAGCAAGTACGCAGAAACACTTGGGAAGAAAATTGCCATCGCTCCAATCGGCCTCACCACTCCATTTCGTCATATTTTGGTCGATCACACGCCTGATACTACCCCACTTCCCACCTCCAAACATCAGCAGCTCAAGTATCTTCTATTTGCAGCCGTTACATGTCGCCCTGATCTTGCCTACATGACAAGTTAGCTCGTACAGTACGTGCGTCGACCTGAAGGGGGAATATGGCCAATCTTTGTCGAGCCCTCCAATATTTCATTTTTGCTCCTACAATCCATCTCAGATACACGACAAATACGTTGATGCAGATTTCGCTGCTGACCCCGACAACAGGCGCTCGCGTACAAGGTTCATTTTCAAACTTGAACCAGGTGGTGTCATTTCTTGAAACTCAATAAAACAGGAGGTCGTCGCACTCTCGTCAGCCGAAGAAGAATTCGTTGCAGCAAGCTCGGCAGTTCGCGAAGGACTGTATCTTCAAGAGTTAGTTCAAGAGGCGAAAACCAGAGCGCAATCAAGATTGCAAACAAGCCCGGCTTCGTCAACAGGACAAAACACATCGCCCTCTGTTACTTCTTTATCAAGGACAAAATCGACAAAGGGAAGGTCATCCTAAAATACTGCCCTACGGAAGAAATGGCAGCTGATTTCCTGACGAAGAAACTCTCACGCGGCAAGTTTCAATACTGCTCCAACCTTGTTGGAATCTGCAAACGCGGCAACATTTACCCAGAGACACACTGAGGAATGAAGGGGAGTGTTGAAGTATACTCGACAGAGTTTACTTATGCATTCCTGATATAACATTTAGACTGTACTAGTGGTGCAATACCTTATATGGAAGAACACGCGTGATAACGTTAGCAGTAGCGAGTCAACGCGCGAACAGTAGGTTCGCGCGTATAGTCACCGAAGGGCCACGCCACTCTTAGTCACACGAATAGTCACTAGTCATGTTACGCGAATAATCGCAATACACTACGAACATGTACAATCCGAATAGGTTCATCCTAGACTGTTAATATGTCTGTATTGCTTATTATTATTTGCCTTGTCATTTTGGACATTTCCAATACAAGTTATAAAGTCTTCCGCTCACTTTTACTCGTGTTTCCACCAACTCTAGATCCTGGTCACCCTAAACACGTGGTTCATTCTTACACTCTTAATATGCTATTGTATTATTATATAAACCCTTGTATCTGTCGTGGTAGTGGGATAACCATGTTGATCCTCTCTATATCTCTAGGGAGGGTAATTGGAAGGCTTTCTTCTGGGAAAGTGGATATATGGAGCCTAACCCTCCTGATGATATCCCTTCTTGTCCCAGTGGTTAGGACTGGTGACTTTATAACTTGGTATCAGAGCCATCCGGGATTCAATTCCTGGTGTACACGCTATCCCTGCTGGGGGGTGTATCGTGGCACTGGGATAACCTTGTCGATCCTCTCTCTATCTCTAAGGAGGGTACTGGGGAGGCTTTCCTCGGGGAAGGTGGATATATGGAGCCTAACCCTCATGATGATATCCCTTCTTGTCCTCGTGGTTAGGACTGATGACTTTATGACTGTATCCCCTTGCCATAATAAATGACATGTTTTCACATACCAGTACAAGGGTTCATCAAGATTTCCGCTGTGTTATCAACCACTCTGTTACAAGGACTTAGTCTTTTGAAAAGATCCTAGGGCTATTCTCAGCCCAACACAGGTGACGGAGGAGAAGCACGTGGTGGAGGGGCGGGCTGGGGGCACACGCTGACAGGCTTCACTGCCAACCTCTTGGAAGAGGGCTGACTTGTAGCTATTTGTATATTGTAATATCCTGCTTACAAGTTTTCGCACGAGCCTTGTTACCGCTAGGTAACGTACAACAATGTTCGTGTATACTTGTAGAGGATCTTGACCATGTGCGGTGAGAGATTTGTTAAATTAGATACATTATATATATATATATATATATATAATTGTAGGCTTGGTAGGTGTTACTGGATCCTACTGCAGAGGGTATAACACCCTTCTTGTATCCCTCTCTCTTCTAGTCCAACTCTCTTTTCTCTTGCCAACGTCTCTCCTATCTCGCTACCTAGCACCGAAAACCTCTCGACCTTTTCATGGCTATCTAGCTAGCTTCCTTAACATGGTTTCAGAGCAGGCCCTTCCGCTCGGGCCTTCTCCTCACGCTTCCGCAGCAAACTTGTCAAACATATACGCAATATGTTAGTACAGGCTAGTTAGGTGTATGCCTTTAGAGAGTACAACCCACCAGGTAAAAGTACTTGGTACTGCTCTTTCTAGTCATCTTGCTACCTTGAGATGGTATCGAGTAGGTTCCGTCCTCCCACCCGCTTCCGCCCTCGTCCTTCCCTTAGCGCCCCGCTGGCCCGTTAGTGCCCTCCTGACCCCGTACGCCGTGCTGGCCCCTTAGCGCCCCGCTGGCCCGGTAGCGCCCTTCTGGCCCCGTACGTCCCGCTGGCCCCTAAGAGCCCTGCTGGTCCGCTAGCGCCCTCCTGGCCCCGTGCGTCCCGCTGGCCCCTAGGCGCCCTGCTGACCCGTTAGCGCCCTCTTAGCCCTCCTAGTCCGCTAGGCCCGTTGCGCCATGCTAGCCCCGTGCGCCTCGCAAGCCCCGTTCACCCTGCAGGCCCCTAAGCGCCCCACTGTCCCGATAGCGCCCTCCTGGCCCCGTCCGCCCCGTACACCCCGTACGCGTAAGCCTTAGTGCCGCGCCTCACCGGTTTTGTCGTGCCCCGCTGGCCCCCGTGCGCCCTTGCTTGCCCCGTGCACCTTACTGGCCCAGCGCGCCTTGCTGGCCCCGTGCACCTTGCTGGCCCCGTTCCTGCCCCGCTCGCCCCCTAGCGTCCTGCTGGTCCCTTGCGCCCCGCTGGCCCCGTTCGAGCCAGCTCTCGTTCCTGCCGTCCCCAGCGTGCCGCGCCACCGCCGTGCCGCCATACCACCGTGGGGTCGCCGTGCAGTCGCCGTGCCGTCGCCGTGCCACCGCCGTGCCGCCACTGTGCTGCTCCCGTGCCGCTGCCGTGCCACCGCTGTGCTGCCACCGTGCCGCCGCCGACTCCCCGCAGCAGAATGGGGTCGCTGAGCAACGCATCGGTTTGGTCATGGAGGTCGCTCGTACCTCCATGATCCATGCCGGTGCACCCCATTTTCTGTGGTTGTTAGCTGTTCACTACGCCGCTCTCCAGCTTAACCTGTGGTCGCACTCTCAATAGCCACAGGTTTCGCCAACCCTTTCTCTGGAACGGGTTCCGTGTGTTAGAAAGAGAAAGGTTCAGTTTATTGATGAAGCAAAGGCATTACATAGGAAGAGAGAGATGAGCTAGGAAGGGAAGGTTGGAAGGGAAAGGGGGGTTAGGACCAATCACAAGGGAGGGAGGATCCTTCCAAATGTGGTTGACCACCAGTTGGAGGTGGTCCAAGTGTGGTGTACCACCAGTGGTTTAGCCAACCCACTTGTGGTGCCCCCACAATTGTGGTCCTTGTGTTTGGGGGCTCCAACCACAATTGGGTTGGATTGACACCCCAACACAGGTGTACACCCAACTAGGGATGTAAACACAATATACACAACTAGCATAGCATGGTATATTCTAACACAACCCCATAGCATGCAAAGCTAGTGTATATGTAGGGTACAACCCCAGAATCAGGAAGGGGGGCGGGGCCCAAGGCTGAGAAGGCGGAGGAGGGCAGAGTGCGCGGTCTTCGGGAGGGCCTTGGTGAAGATGTCGGCCAAGTTGGCCTCTGCAGCGATCTTGCGGACCACCAAGTGACCTTGCTGGACCAACTCTCGAATGAAGAAGTAGCGGAGTTCAATGTGCTTGGAGCGGCCATGGAAGACAGGGTCCTTCGTGAGATGGATGGTGCTGGCGTTGTCGCACCAGAGGGTGGGACAGCGCTGAGGAGCACCGATCTCAGCAAGGAGGAAGGTGAGCCAGCGAGCCTCCTGAGCGGCCATGGTGCAAGCATAGAGCTCAGCCTCGCAGGATGAGAGGGCGATGGGGGAGGAGCGAGTGGAGCGCCAGCTGATGAGGCCGCTGCCAAGGGTGAAGCCGTAGCCTTGAGAGGAACGGCGATCCGGCTGGGAGTCAGCCCAGGAGGAGTCACTGAAGCCAGAGAGGAGGGGAGGAGAAGAGCCTCTGAGGGTGAGGACATAGTCCTTGGTACCATGGAGGTAGCGGAGGACCCGCTTCGCTGCAGCCCAGTGCTCATCAGTGTGGCGACCGGTACCGACGAATCGAGCAAGAACACTGATGGGGTAGGCAAGGTCGGGGCGGGTGCACATCATAGCGTACATCAGCGAGCCGACGAGCTCAGCGTAAGGATGGTCAGAGGAGGAGGGAGCAGGAGGAGGGGCAAGCTGGTGGTCGGTCTGCAGGGGAGTGGTAACTGGCTTGGACTGCGCCATGTCGAACCGCTGCAAGACTTGGTCGATGTAGAAGGACTGAGAGAGGATAATGGTGCGCGATGTGCGGTCCCGGGTGATGGTCATGCCCAGATAGTGCTTGAGCTCACCCAGGTCCTTGCACTTGAGGCGCGCATGCAGGGCGTCCTTCACTTGCTGCATGGCGGCAGCATCGTCAGCGAACAGGATCATGTCGTCGACATACACCAGGATGAAGAAGCGGGTGGGAGAGGAGCGAAGGAAAAGGCTGGCATCAGACTGAGAGGCATGGAACCCCAAGGACTGCAGAGTGGCGGCCAGCTTGTTGTGCCACTCGCGAGGAGCCTGCTTGAGGCCATAAACCGGGCGGCGCAGCTCCCAGACTGTGTTGGCAGGGAAGGCTGCATGAAAGCCTGGAGGCCGCCGCAAGAGGACCCGCTCCTGGAGCTCGCCTTGCAGGAAGGCGTTGGAGACATCCATGGAGGCAATCTCCATGCCAATGCGAACAGCATAGTCGAGGATGGCACGGAGAGTTGGGAGCTTGGCAGTGGGAGAGAATGTCTCCCAGTAGTCGATGCCATGGGTTTGGGTGAAGCCCTTGGCACAATACCGGGCCTTGTAGACCGGCTCCTCACCCGGCAGCTGCTTCACTCGGAACACCCACAGGCCTTCAACAATGACGTCGTCAGGAGAGGGGACAATGTTAACGAATGAGGCATTGCGGATGAAGGCCTCGCATTCAGCAAAGATAGCCTGGATCCACTTGGCAGCATCGGGGCAGGTGATGGCCTCAAGGAAGTTGGACGGAGTGAATCTGGTGGGAGCGGTAGCGATGCCAAGGATGAGGAGGCCAAGGAAGCCCAGGTAGAGAGGCGTGAGGGAAGGTGTTTGTTGCTGAACGCCAATGAGCTCCTCATGGGAGTCCTCAATGAAGGGAAGGAAGGGTCGGGGTGGTGTTGGCCAACCCCATGGATGGCCTATGAGTGGGCCGTGAGAGCGAGTGTGGATGCGTGGGAGGATGAACGGAGAGGTGGTGCGGCGATGCCGATGAGGTTGCTGCAGTGGCTGCTGCTGCTGCTGCTGTGGCTGCTGCTGGTGCTGCTGCTGCACCTCCTGCTGCAGCTGCTGTTGCTGCACTGCCTGCGGTTGCTGCTGCTGCTGCTGCTGCTGCTGCTGCTGCTGCTGCTGCTGCTGCTGCTGCTGCCGCTGCTGCTGCTGCTGCTGCTGCTGCTGCTGTTGCTGCTGCTGCTGCTGCTGCTGCTGCTCCATCCGCTGCTGCTGCTGCACCTGCTGCTGCTGCTGTTGCTGCTGCTGCTGTTGCTGCTGCTCCTTCTGCTGCTGCTGCTGCTGCTGCTGCTGCTGCTGCTGCTGCTGCTGCTGCTGCTGCTGCTGCTGCTGCTGCTGCTGCTGCTGCTGCTGCTCCTTCTGCTGCTGCTGCTGCTGCTGCTGCTGTTGCTGTTGCTGCTGCTGCTGCTGCTGCTGCTGCCACTGCTGCTGCTGCCGCTGTTGCTGCTGCTGCTGCTGCTGCTCCTTCAGCTGCTGCTGCTGCTGCTGCTACTGCTGCTGCTGCTGCTGTTGAGTCTGCTGCTCCTTCTGGTGCTGCTGCTGCTTCTGCTGCTGCTGCTACGACTGCAGCAGTGGTAAGGCGGCGATGAGCAGGTGCAGGTGAGGAGGCAAAAGATGGGGAAAGATGGCAGTTAGCTGATGAAAATAGGACTTGGTAGAAATTTCAGTAGCACTTCGTGATCACATCCAGGAAAGTGTGCAAACGTTGGAAAGCGATATCTGACAATCCAAGCGATGAAATAGTCCGAAATTTTACGACGTTGTAGCTGACACCAAGAGCGTTCGTTTGCAAGTTGAATCACTCAATTCTGTCAACTAGCGAGCGAGCTATGGCGTTTGGCGCATTGGGGGTTTTTGAAAATCCACCCAACAGAAAACTAGTTGAGAGGCGGCGGCTAGGAGTCTAGCAGCGGCGATGGAGGGGACGGCAATGAGGTGCACGTCGGAAGGGGACGGGGCGGAAGCGTGGGGAAGGATCGGGATTTAAAAGTTGGCGTGAGCCATTATTGCTCTATACCATGTTAGAAACAGAAAGGTTCTGTTTATTGATGAAGCAAAGGCATTACATAGGAAGAGAGAGATGAGCTAGGAAGGGAAGGTTGGAAGGGAAAGAGGGGTTAGGACCAATCACAAGGGAGGGAGGATCCTTCCAAATGTGGTTGACCACCAGTTGGAGGTGGTCCAAGTGTGGTGTACCACCAGTGGTTTAGCCAACCCACTTGTGGTGCCCCCACAATTGTGGTCCTTGTGTTTGGGGGCTCCAACCACAATTGGGTTGGATTGACACCCCAACACAGGTGTACACCCAACTAGGGATGTAAACACAATATACACAACTAGCATAGCATGGTATATTCTAACACCGTGGTGACGCGTCTGCGTTCTACGTCTGGGGCTGCCTTGCTCACGTTCCTGCCTCTAGCACGGACAAGCTCACTGCACGCACAGTCCCTTGTGTCTTCCTTGGCTTCCCCATCGACTCGTTCGACTAACACTTTATCACCCGTCTTTCCACTGCTTCTTTCACTCGCGTGACGTCACCTTTGACGAGTCAGTCTCCTTCTACCACTCGTTTCCTCGTAGAGTTCTCCCGGTTTCCCCACCTCTGTTCCCGCTCACCCGATAGCCCGTGCTCCTCTCCCCCCCCATCCTGCCCCGTCTGGTGTGTCTCACGTCACTCCCCTCCTGTCGGTTGTCCCGCTCGAGGAGTCGTTTGATTCTGGCGGCCCCGCGGCATTGTTCTCGCAACTGCAGCAGTCGTTGACGCGGCCGCAACCGCAGTCGCCGCTGCAGCCACAGTCGCCGTAGGGGTCCACAGGTCCTGGGGGTGGCACCGGTGCTGGAGAGGGTTCCTGTTCTGGGTGTGCTGGCGTGGAGCTTCTCGGAGGTAGCCGTGGTGCAGCTCGAGGTTCTGGTGTTGACGTGGAGCCAAAGCAGCAGCAATCACCGCTAGTGTCGTCCCTTCGCCTCCTCGGTCTTCCTTCCCCCGACCCCCCGCCTACGCCTCCTTCACCGCCGCTTCCCATGACTGTCTACGGCCCTCTGTTTCCACCGCCGGACTCGTGTCCGACTCGGTTTCCCCCTCGTTCCCCTCCTGTGTCTCCTCTTCTATTTCCTGACTCATCGCCTTCGTCTCACGTCTGGTCTCGCTGTCCCTCTCGTGCTCGTCCTGTCTCTCCTGTTCCCCGCTCTCACCCTATTTTGCTTCGTTCTTACGCATCTCGTCCTCCCCTCCTCCTGTCGCCTCCTCCGTCGTCGCTTCTTGTTGCGCCGCCTCCATTCTCTGACTTCCTTCGTACTGGTAGTCCTCTTGTTCCTCGGGGCCTTGCCTCCCACCTTACCGACCCGTCTGTTCCTGTCTCCAGTCTTGACGTGCTTGTTGCTGCCGTTGCTGACTTTGCCTCTTCCCGCCTCCTTGACTACGCCACAGCTCTTGTCTTTGACCCTGCCTGTACTGCGTCCGTCGAGGGTGCACCTGCTCTTGGCAGTGACGTCCTAGGGGACAGGCATTACGAACAAGCTTTCTTGTCCGAGGTTACGCCTCATCTCTGCTTTATGCTGCTAGTCCCTGAGGGTAACCCAGACGCCCTCGACATACCGACCCCTCACACCTACGTTGAGGCGACCTCGGGACCCTGGGCCTCTCAGTGGATAGCTGCCATAGAGCAGGAGATGGCATCTTGGAGATCCACCGTTACCTACGTCGACGCAGTTCCCCCACCTGGGGTGAACGTAGTCGATGGCCGGTGGCTCTTCAAGATGAAGCGCCCTCCTGGAGAGCCACCTTTGTTCAAGGCACGCTACGTGGCTAGAGGCTTCAGTCAGCGCGAGGGTGTTGACTTCTTTCAGACCTTCGCCCCAAACCCGAAGATGACCACTCTACGGGCGCTGCTATACGTAGCAGCACAGCAGGATTATGAGCTGCACTCTCTCGACTTCTGCATAGTGTTTCTTCGGGGCAGTCTGCACGAACAGGTCTACCTGCGTCGCTCGCCAGGCTTCACTCGCTCATTCGCCTTTTGGACCGAGTGGCTGCTTCGGAGCCTGGTTTACGGCCTGCGGCAGGCGCCCCGTGAGTGGCACGACACGCTGCATGCTACCCTAGTTGACCTGCAATTCTTCGCGTCGTGTGCAGACCCCTCGCTCTTCGTTCATTCTTGGCAGACCCCGTCCTACATCCTTGTCTACGTAGACAACCTGGTCTTCGCTTCTGCAGACAGAGACGCATTGGCCTCCGTGAAGGCTGAGCTGTTGAGGAGACACACTTGCACTGACCTTGGAGAGCTGCGCTGCTACCTTGGCCTGCAGATCTCCAAGGACAGAGCATCGCGCACCATCACTCTCACACAGACACACTTGGTGCGCCAGGTCCTTCAGAGGTTCGGTCTTTAGTTCTCCTCTGCACAGCCCATACCTCTGCCAGTAGATCACAGGCTCTTGGCTCCAGTCCCTGAGGAGTCTGTAGAGCCTAGTGGTCCTTACTCAGAGCTGGTGGGTTGCCTCATGTACCTGATGACTTGCACTCGTCCAGATCTTGCATACCCTCTCAGCATCCTGGCTCGCTTTGTGGCCACAGGCCGACACCGACTGCAGCACTGGTTGGCCGCTAAGAGGGTTTTGCGTTATCTAGCAAGTACATCTGGCATGGCATAAGTGCTAGGAGGATGCAGACCAGTGGTCCTGGCTGGGCACCCAGACTTTTCGTGGGCGGACGACACTAAGACGCTCAGGTCTTCCCAGGGCTACTGCTTTAGCCTTGGTGCAGGGGCCATCTCGTGGAGGTCCACCCACTCGTCGTTTATTGCACAATCTAGCTGTGAGGCTGAGATCTACGCCAGTGCCATGGCGGCACAGGAGTTTTGCTGGCTGACCTTCTTGCTTGCAGACTTAGGTGAGCGGCCTAGCTATGCCCTGGTTCTGTACGCTGACAACATGGCCATGATCCTCCTGGTTAGGAGCCTTGACTGGAGGGCAGAGCAAAGCATATCCAGCTGCGGTACTTCCTCGTGTGCGAGCTACAGCAGCGCCGCCAGGCTCGCGTAGTTCACTTGGCTTTGGTGCCAATACAGCTGATATCTTTACGAAGGCGCTTGCACCTAAAGATCATCAGCGGCACTGTTTACTGCTAGGTCTAGTTCCTATAGCTTCACACTTGCTAGGGCCTTGATTGTGTACAACTCTTATTATATTCTCCTGACTGGCCCTATGGCCTCTAATCCAGTGGCAGGACTAGTAGTGCCGCCATGGTTTGTTCTTGTCTTGTTAATACTCTCGTGACTGGTCTTCAAACCCTTGCCTCAGAGGTTGGACGAGTAGTGTCACCCTGAGTCGCGTGTCTCTTGCCCGGAACTACCCCTTGTCTAGCCTAGGGGGTGTGTCAAACATATACGCAATATGTTAGTATACGCTGTGTATGCCTTTAGAGAGTACAACCCACTAGGTAAAAGTACTCAGTACTGTTGTTTCTAGTCATCTCGCTACTCTGAGAGTACTCTCCCTCCCCCCCTCTCCGTCACATTCGCGCCGCTATGGCGGCCTCGCGGCGCTGCCGCGGTGACCTCGTCGAGCATCCGTGGCGGCCTCGGCGTGCTGCCGTGGCGTCAACGCCGCTATGCCGCGGCGACCTCGATTTCGCGTCGCCTTGGTGGCCACGTCGTGCTGCCATGGTCGCCCCGTTGCGCTGCCGTGGCAGCCTCGACGCACTGCCATGACGTCGACGCCACGCCGTGGCGGCATCGTCCTGATGCCGTGGCGGCTTCGCCGTGCCGCCGTGCCTCCGTGCCGCCGTTCCGCTATGCAGCTTTGTCACCGTGTCGCCGTTCCGCCATGCAGCTGTGTTGCTGTGTCACCGTCCCGCCATGCTGCCGTGCCATGGTGACGCTGCACCGCCGTGCCGCTGTGCCTCTGTGTCGCCGTACCACCGAGCCGCCTTGTCGTAATGCTGTCGTGGCTGCTTCGTCGCGCCAGCGCATGGACGGCTGCGGCCAGCACCCTGTCTTAAGCGCCAACCAGCTCACCCACACGCCAGCTTGCGCCGTGCCAGCCACGGTGCCTTGCTGAAGCCACGCTCCCTCCCCTGCGCTACCCCTCGTTTCAGCCGTAGCTGATGATCCTCTTCGTGGTCGTCGCCGGGTCGTGCCACGCCGCTGGGTGCCGTGAGCTTCGTAGTTGCCGCCGCCGTCGTCGAAGCAGCCGCCGCCCGCTCCGCCGCCGCCGCTGTCGTCGTCGTAGAAGCCGCCGCTGATGCCGTTGCTGCCACCCGCCGGGGTGTCATCGCTTCGCACAAGGGGTAGAAGCCTCACCTGCTGCAGGGCATGGGGGGGTGCAAGGGCTTGGGGGTGTTGCATGTGGGGCGGACTTGCGACTACTAAGCCTAGGGGGTGTGTTAAATTATATATTATATGTATATAATTATAGGCTAAGTAGGTGTTACTGGATCCTAGTGTAGAGGGTATAACACCCTTCTTGTATCCCTCTCTTCTATTCCAACTCTCTTTTCTCTTGCCAACGTCTCTCCTGTCTCGCTACCTAGCACCTAAAACCTCTCGACCTTTTCATGGCTACCTAGCTAGCTAGCTTCCTTAACAATTGTAGTGCAGTATTTACGGTAGTGCGTCATTCTAATTCGCGTTAGTGTTCTCTCGTAGTCTCACTTCCACCACAACCCTCCATATAATCACAAGGCCATTCCACCAGCTCCCTTCCAAATCTCTTAGGGCGTGCATGAAGTGATTCAGTAAACGCGGCAGCTTGCCGGCAGCTTTCTTTCGGTAAAGAACCATTCTGAAACGAACAGAACCTTGTAGAGACGTCAGAAATCTATGTTGCCTGATTCACTTTATATACGCCCTTACAGCAATACATGCCCCACGATTGAGCAAGCAGCAAGCCTGCCCGACTCATGACGGCCAGCGGTACATGCAAGTGTCCCAGTAGGCGAGACTGCCAGCGCGCTGATTCCACTCATCCGGGATGCCGTTGTTTCTTGCGTCCGAGTGACCGTTGCCCCTCGCGTCCCACCCTCGCCTCGCACCTTCGAGCCCGGGAACCCGCGAAACACCTCGGGTGTGCGAAGCCACATGTCGTGTCGTGTGCGGCGCTGCCAGCGTGCCACGCAGGGTGTGGCAGCGCGGTTGAATTCGCTGCCAGCTCGCTCCAGACGACAAGCTCTCGTTGCACTGCTATGGCGCCTGCCGTCGTGGCGCCGCCGGCAAGCTGCCGCGTCACTCCGCTTGGTGCCCTCTCCTGCGCGCCTTTCCCCGCCCCCCGTTGCCGCAGCTCCGCCCTCCCCGGACCCTCTGCTCGCTGCGCGCCCGCTCCGCGCCACTACGCCCGGCCCTTCGTCCGCGCGCTGCATCCGCGCCAACCACGCCTCGGCGCGCCTACAACACCGTGAGGCGCGCGCCATGACACCGTGAGGCGCGCGCCACGCCACCGTGAGGCGCGCGCCACGACACCGTGAGGCGCGCGCCACGACACCGTGAGGCGCGCGCCACGACACCGTGAGGCGCGCGCCACGACACCGTGAGGCGGAGCGGATGAGCAGAAACTTGTGGGAAGTTTATACTGAGATGTGCCAGAATTTCTGATGGTCGATTGGTCCAAGGCTAAAAAATACTGCGGTCGTATAGTATGACCTGTATTATACGACCGTTTTTCCAGTTGTTTTTTCCGACATTGGTCCAATGCGTGGGTAAACGTTTAGCGACATTGTTCACGATTTTATAGGCGGCCTAACGTCAACAAAACGCGGTAGACACAGAGATGTGACCTCATGCCCGCTCACCAATCCTCCTCCTCCTCCTCCTCCTCCTCCTCCTCCTCCTCCTCCTCCTCCTCCTCCTCCTCCTCCTCCTCCTCCTCCTCCTCCTCCTCCTCCTCCTCCCTCCTCCTCCTCCTCCTCTGCTGATTCCACGATCGTGCCTCACCTCCTCAACAATTGGCTTTTGGGGCTTTGCAGCCACCCCAAGGCATGCAGGGGGTTGGGCAGTGGGCCATCCCACCACCGAGCACCGTTTGCTGTGATGGAGGCAAGGAATGCAGCCTTGTCCTTGGCATAAGGCGCCCTGGTTTTCTTCTCAGTGAAGGAAGGCGTCCGTGAAGCAAGCGAGAAGGGTGTGCGGGGTTGAAGGCTGTGGTCAAGGAATTTCATGGGAGGATTGGGAAGGTTAAGCTGGAGCAAGGAAGTACACACACGGCAGGCCATGCACAGGTATCAGCAGCCAGGAAGGTGGGTTTTTTTTCCCGCTGCCTCTGCCACCTCATTTGTCATGATAATTGCCTCAAGTGTGCGGCCATAGATCTTGCCCACGAGCAGATATTTCTTGCCCACGAGCAAAGATCTCTTGCCCACGGGCAAAGATCTCTTGCCCACGGGGGTTGAGAATGGGGGTTGAGAGGATGGGGGGTTAGAGAATGGGGGGTGAGATAATGGTGGGGAGCGAATGTGGGTGAGAGAACGGGGGCAAGAGAATGGGGGCAAGAGAATGGGTGTGAGAGAATGGGGAGTGAGAGGCTGGGGAGTGAGAGGCTAGGGATTGAGGTGATAGGG